AAAATTCTCTTAAATAGTGCATTACCGACGGTGCGTATTCCAAGGAAAAGAGAGAGATTGCCACCGGAAAATTCTGGGCCCGTTACGCACGATGGTTTCTCAGACTTCAATTCAAATTCACTCACGACCGTTGGGCTTCGTGCGGTGTTGTCGATGGCTCTTTGTCTCTACGGTTCTCGCACCGAGATCGATCAGATGAGAACGACAACGGTTCTGACATCAGAAGCCGCGATCGATAAACGTGAGTTCATTTGAGCTGAAGTCGGGGGCTACTATCAGGGTTACGAATAAGGTATACCCTCTACCCTTGGATGTACGTTGTGTACCAATACGGTATACCCGTGCGCATACGGATAGTTTTTGTATACATTAAGGAAATCTATCACGTGATAGGGATATTATCTACAGATGAAAGGAGTCCTACTCGGAAAGGATTGGGTCTTTACCATATCGTGAGGGGTCCGATATCTCCGAGTCCTACTTGGAGATCAACTGACCCGCTGTATATAAGGGACCCCCTGGCAGGACCTAAGGCATCGAATATTACCGCCAACACATCCACCACAGTCTACGAAGCTGGAGCGCGCAGGAGCCAAGTCGCCGGGAGATCTAGTCGGACCAACCCGACCACGATCTCATCGGTATCGTCGAGTTCTGCTATTCCCTTTGTAATCTGTGATTTCCATCATATAATCCCATATCAACTGGATTAGGGCTATTACCGACCAAGGGGCCTGAACCAGTATAATTCTTGTCTTTTGTTTGCTTAATGTCGTATTACATATATCCTCGTACCAACGGACCCCAATACCCTCAATATCCGGTCTACGGGTATCCTCCGTCGACATAAATATTTTAATAAAAAATGTAAAAATAATAACAGTAAAACATAAGCTCTTTTCTCCCCTCTTCTGTAAGGCCTAAGGCCCAGCCTATCCAAACCAATACTATTGTTGTTCAGCCTTAATATTTAAAAGTTCAGGTTTGTATCATGGAACTTTTCATTTTAAGATATTTACTAAATTGTTTTATGTACGAACAAACAATATACAGTTAATTAGTAAATAGTGATCAATTTGTCTTTCCATTAAGCTCAATGAACCTTTTTTGGAAGTGTGTTCATTTACTAATGCACTGGTTCAGCGTAAATAAATTAAATGATGCACCTGAACCATGGTTCAGCGTTCATAATTTATTAGACATAGTCCAGCTCAACCCCACCTGGCTAGGAAAGCACAAACATTGGCTCTCTTTAGATACTCCGGACTATTAAATAGCTCTCCGAAATGTTGCTATTTAAGAGTATTAAACGTAGATTACTGATAAAACCCGTTCCATAACCCTTGGGCTATTTTGCGCGACGAATCTAACGAGGTATATTAATCCATGATTTACTACAGTGATACTACAGTAATCATCCGCTAATCATGAAGTAATATACCTCGTTAGATTCTTCTCACAAAATAGCCTAGGGGTTATGAAATAGGTTTTGTTAGTAATCTACATTTAATACTCCTAAATAGTAAGATTTCGGAGGGCTATTTAATAGCCCGGAGGATCTAAACAACGCCATTATAACGTAGTTTGTCTGATAGAAATAGTAAACTAATTCAGTTCTGAAGTTGACTTGTGAGTTCTGATCCCATTCACAATATATAATTGCAATTACGCAAGCACCCTCATGGCTACTCCTCTATAAGTATAAACTAAGCGAGAGTAGAAAGGAAACACAACAAGGTCAGGTTTGAAAGCGAGCTAGTTTGAAGGAAGAATGCGGAGGAGCGCTGCGGTTGCGTTCTTCATTTGGGCCATAGCCATGGTGATCTTCATGGCTGCCCTCCTTGCACAAGGTTAAATTGATCACTACTCTCTCTCTCATGCATGCTTCTTTTAATTGGGTGCTCTCTCTGTCCCCTAAAAGAGTGTAGTTTTAGTCCGAGAATTTGTCTTTAAAATAATACTAGTATTAGTTTTAGTCTAACAATTTGTCTCTTTAGTATAATTTTTGAGTGGTTCATTAAACTTCTTCAATACTACTTTGTTTTTTTTTCTCGGTTTTAGCAATTGAACAAAATATTACTTCACCCTCCTCTCCCCCCCCTTCTCGTTCTTTGTGTATTAATGAAAAGGACATAATAGTCTTTTTAATCTTTTGTGTAATATGTATTTGACTAGCTAAAATCTTTTAGTGACGGAAGGAGTATTTAATGAATTCTTATTCTAACTTGTGATCAGCAACGATCATTGGCATATGAGAATATCTACTAATCAATATTCTTACCGTTTTGGTTTTCAGCTGATGTAGCATGCGGTTGCGCTAATGCTTTTTGCGACGCGGTATCCCAATCTGAATCTGATTGCTATGTCTGCTGTTCAAGATAGTGTTAGTTTCCCCTCTGAGCTAATAAGCCAATTGGTCCCCAAGATTCATGGAGACTTACCCAAATACATCAATATTCATCGTGTGTTGTAACAAAAAAAATGTGTGCTTTGTCCAAACAGGCGGAATCCCATCTCATAGAAGTGAGGTATTATCGCAATCCCTATCTCTACTATTATAAAAATTGAAATGTTTTCGCCAGAATTTTGGTACATCCTCCATATTTGAATCGGTTTTAATTTTGTGTTTCAGTCAAATCCTTTCCTTTTTTCCTACGTTATCCCTTTTATCTGAGACGCACGCGAATTAATTGGGCTCGCACCTTTTCACGCACCCCTTGCCGCATGTAGCAATAGGGCCCGCACCTAAGTGCGTTTTCCATACGCGCCTTTACGTGCCACCGCGATTGGGCCCACAACGCCCTCACGCGCGCGATTTTCAGCATGCACGATTGGGCCCGCGACGCCCTCGTGCGCGTGATTTACGTCGTCTGTATCCAATTCCCTTCACATGTAACATTCATTGCGAAGTCGCGACTCGCGAGCAAACTATAAAAAAGAGTTCGTGTGATGTGGATACCAAGCGAATGAAACTCACAGAGTCCGAGTGGATATCATGTATGTCGTTTCTCAGATCATCCGATTCTATTCGTATTATACGGCACGATTCCTAGAACATGTTAGCATGATTTCAAGTCAGTCTCCACACATGCTCGTAAGAACTACCAAGGATACCGTTACAATAATCCATAAGGATCAATTTTACTTTCCGAAAATACATGCCAACCGAAAATAAAGGATGATCGAAATTGTTGATTCTGTTCGTCATCAATTTCTGCCCCACTTGAGATAAAGCTGGACGACAAATCGAGCTCGTGTTTCAACGCTTTATTGTTTGGCTTATGCTTCTTCCCATAATCCAAATTTTAAAATTTAGAACTTAATTTTGAATTCGACTTTTAGGTTTTTTTATCGTACTATTTTACAATATTTGCTTTTGAGATGTTAAGAACATGTATATAAAAGATTTGCACACAAATAATCATTTATTTAGTAATAAGTGATTTGGATAAGCGCATGAATAACCGAAATAACGGGTTGGGTTGTTATTATTTATCCACCTACTCATCTATACAAATTAAATTGGTTCTACCCGTTATAACGCACGTGCATCTTTTCTAGTAAAAAGAAAAAGAAAAAAAAAGTAAGTCTGAGGTCTTTCTAAGGAGGGGACGGGTTATCTCTAGTTTTTATTAGAAAACAACCTGGAAAAAGTTGCAGAAAAAAATGGGAACTAAAATGCTTTTATCAGGCAGAAAAGAAAATTGTTGCAGAAAAATGGGAACTAAAATGCTTTTACCAGGCAGAAAAGAAAATTGTTCCTTCTGTTTAGAGTGCACAGCTTAGCCTACCAACCGTGGGCCACCTAGATCACATTAGGTTTGCTCCTCACCTTTTAAGTCGTATTCCCCCATCATCAATTACCGATGTGAGACTAAACCCAACATCTTCAATGACCTATAATAGTTCTGAAAAGAAAAAAATGTTGTAGGAGTATCCATGGAAGTCCTTTGATAAAAATATTTGCGCCTGTAGATGGAACTTCTAATACAGGGATGTCGCCAGGAGCCTACATGTTCTCACACCGAGTGAATATCAATTTCAATATGCTTCATGTGACAATAAACTGCAGTTATATTGTCACCATAAGCAACTGTGACAGTGTTAACTGTCAAAATTAAGCAGCTCGTGAAGAATTTGTCCCACCCAGCAGGACTCTGCACATACCTATTTTGGTGCGTTCGAATCAGCCTGTGACCTGAGCTTTTTTGCCACACACAAAACGGCACAAGTTATTACTGCACAATTAATTGAGTATTAAGAATCACAAATTTTAAAAATAAAATTACTTGATCTTTTAGAAAAACTTTATCTAAAAAATATTTGAAAAACACGGTATTTAGCCGTTTGGGAAACATGCTAAAACGAGGCAGTAGCTCCCATTAACAGCTTCTTTGTTATGGCTTCACGTTCTTTGGAGGCGCTAACACATTCCACCTGATTGCACGTGTACATATATCTTCGCAAGAATTCATCACGTTTTGCAAATCTCGATCTTCTTTGTTGTTCTTCTCGGACATATTCACCGGAAAATATATAATGCAAACTACATATATGGTGAAAACCTAAAAAATATCGTTGGATAAAAAATGGATGCTTGAGATTTATCCATATAACCAAGAGTAAAAATTGTATTCTCAAATTTATCCATGGATAAAATTTTACTCTTCGTGACATGGATAGATCTTAGATGATCGTTTTGGATCCAACGGTAGTTTCAAACTTTTCACTACATGTGTGATTTGCACTACATATTTTTTCTAATTACCGTGATGTTGATATGGTACTTGTCCTGCGGACTCACTCGAATAAGAGCATCCAAATTTCTACCTTTTGTGAGTCCCCGGCTAATAGATTTGAGCAAAATGTACCATTGATCCTCTGTTTTTATATGTGCCTTTTTTTAGATAAAGAGAGAACTTTATTAAATTTTGAATAAGGGATTACACTCCTAGTTTAGTAAGTCTAAGATTCTTGCGGGGGCACACAATTTCCACTCCGCACGAGATCTAGTACTCATTGCCATTTGTGCTAAAACATGTGCTACCCTATTTGCTTCTCTTGTTATTACTGGCCAGAGGTTAGCTATGGTGATGACTGCTAATGGTACCCACCACATTTCTTTAGGATGTCTATAGAGACTTGTTTCAATTTATGAGGACATTTGTTCCCTTGAGTAAATATCTTTGTTTATAAGAGCTTCTTGGAGTCATCGTCCGAAAGAGGTTCCATCTTATAAATTTTGGCATCACTATCAGAGCAACAAGCTTCGGAGACATTGATTTTGCGTGTTTTTATGATTATTCAAATGATATGAAAAATCACAACACCACGCAAAAACAGATGAATCCCCACGACAACACGCAAAATAGAGAAAATTTGATCTATAGCACAAGAAACACCCCGATTACTAAGTAATAGCAAAAAAAAAAAACAATCCCACTTTCGATGTATAGCACAATCCACTAATTTTTCTAGCACTTCCGTCACATCGGTGATGCGGGATTGAGCCGTGGTTGGGGAGGGAAAATACCGAGAATGCCCTTTATCACACGGTAATGAGATGGTTTGGCTGAATCATGCGCTCTGTCCTTTATTTTCTTGCTGCTTTCTTCCTCGTTCCTGTGAGCAGGAAGCTCGATCGGGCAGCTCCAGCAATAGTGGAAGCAGAACAACGCGCGGCAGCGGCGAATGGATTCGGGGTTCACTTCCCCAAACTCGAACTCTCCTGAATTCCGTTGCAAGCAAGCCACGAGTCGCTGCTATCGATCGATCGAGCAAGCCGCCAGTCACCATCGTCTCCCCTCCGCCCATCGCCAACCACCGCCATAGAGTAAGTAGGCAGTCTCGGATCGTCTCCAATCCCCTCCACCCGTCGCTTGCCGCCGCCGTCTCCCCCTCCACATGAAGGGTGCTGGGAAGGAGTTAAATTTTAACGCCGTTAGTTAAAAATGCGATGGAAGTGCTATTCATTGAAAGTGGAAATTTTTTATGCTATTTTTTGGTACTAGAGTTTTTCTTCTGCTATATGGATCTAATTTTCTCCAAAAAAAAATGTGTGATTATTCATCAAGAGTGCTTTATATGGGATGACCTCGTTGTTGTGATTATTCGGCGGATTTTTAAGAACAGATATGAAACCGCTAGACTTTAACCACGTTTCAATTCTTGGTAATAAACATATCGACACTTTCAACTCCATATTTAGGACGATGCTTAGCATTGTTATTCAAAGTTTAGGGGGCGGGAGAGGGGGGCATGTGGATTTATTTCCTTTCATAAAAAGTTGATACGGTCTGCAAGTTCAGTCTTACAATTTGCAGTTACACATTCTTTGATCATCTGTTCAGTATACATGATAAAATGATATCATGAATATAAGGAATGGAACAGAAGAACATTGCTGTAAAAAGAGGGCCTGCGAGCTGCAGCTGCACGCATCAACTGCACTGCCATTCCTTCAAGCATATACCAGTTGGTTGTAGAATTACCAACTTCTGAATTTTGGAACCATGTTCAATGAAAATTCTGTTACAGCTAAACAAACCTGAACAAATGCAGGCTATGTACAGTACTGGTCACTGGTCTCGCCCAGTCCATTGACTAGTAAATATTTTTATACGGATCCACCGCTGTCATCATCTTCGGGCTAGAAATAATTAAGAAAGAAATCAAGAGATAAAAGTTAAGGCCAAAACAGAGAGAAAATAAACAGAGTTTGCACATTGACAATCATCTGTATGTATGTACAAACCTGTTGGCTTTGGCAATGGTATTCTTCCAAATTAAGGGTAGGATGGTTGGGATGAACATGGACCTCATGCCTCAGCATTACCTTCACTTCCGCAACCTCCACAATGCTGGCACCAGAGCATTGCAAGTACAGCGTAACAAGTTCAAGGAAAGGAAGGTGCCCCAACCCCAAGCCTGCAGGGTCCTCCCTCCTGCCCAGGCCCAGCACACTGACCCTGAACTCGAGGTGCGCAAGCATCGGCATTGCTCCCTGTTGAAACATGAACTCTAAGTTGGTCGTGCAATGCCTTAGATTTTGAAACAATCCATCTCCACCGGCGACGACGTAGGATAGCAGAATACCGCTAGATATGTAGAGGCAACGAAGCGCTGGCAACCTCCCAAGAGTGTGTAGATCCTGGACATCTATAAAGCCCACTCCTAGTTGAAGGTAGGAAAGGTGTGCGACGTGCGAGGAGTTGATCCACAGCGGTAGTCATGGCAGAGAGATGGCTCTCAGCAAGAACTGGCGGAGCCGTGGATGGGGCACCCAGCCTTCCCAGCTGCTACCTAGGTACGCCCACTCTGTAGGTCCAGAGTGATCATAGTGAACTTCGAGAACTTGTATGTTGCAAAGGTTGCACACGGATTCCACTAGAGATCTCCGTGAGTTCTGATCCATCTTGCAGAACTGGATTTCAAGCACTCTTAGCTCCACCAGCTTACCTAGCTCTACAACGGCGCTCGGGGACTTGTCAGCAGAGTGAAGGCGCAGTTGCTGTAGGGATGTTAAGCTCCCTATCACCCCCGCTGGCACTCTCGTGTTGCTGTCAGCTCGCAGGCAGATCAGCCGCTTCAGCTTACCAACAGTTGATGGAAGTTCTTCTATACTAGTGCGCCATATGTCTAACGTCTGCAACAATGTGAGGTTCCCAACCTCCTTGGGGAGCTCAGCAATGGCCGTGTTCACTAGTCCTAGGTACTTGAGGTGAAGCAATTTCCCAATAGGCTCAAGATGAGGACTTCCCGTAAAATTACATAAATCTAAGACTAACACGCGCACAACTTTAAAGCTCCATAGCGGGGGCATACAATCCATATGACCGCACATGTAGGCATTGAATGACCTCACTTGTGCCATGCGCACATTCATCTTAGGGTTATGCTCTAGAATTCTTTTGTGGATGGCTAACCTGCGGACAATGTTGTTCTGTGAAAGCATGGTTTGTTCCTTATGCAGCATAGCACAAAAATTCTCTTCACTCGACAAGGAACGAATGAGATCAAGCACCATGTCATGAACACGACAGCCATTTACAATACCACTATGATAACGATCTGATGGCTGGATTAAGCTTCTATTTATCAGCTCGTCGAGGAATCTCTCCCCCTGCTCAAATAACACTAGCCCCTTTTCCTCGTGGACAAAACCTTCAGCTATCCATCTCCAAATCAATTGGTATTTCTCAATCCAATAATCTTCTGGAAATATGGATAGATACAATAAGCAAGTCCTTAATTGAATGGGTAGATCGTAATAGCTAAAAGGCAATATCTTTCTTGTGTTCCGAACATCCTTGCTGTCTTCTTGTCCAAACCCAATAGAGTCATAAACCTTGGACCATTCATTGTTGGGTTTATACCACCACATTTCTTCAAAATCTTCTTTGATACCTCAGTCAACTGATTACTTGGATATTTTCCATCAAAACCAAATATTCTGGTGTAGAATAATTTTTCAGCATTGTCATCAAAAAGCGGTTGTATGTTGTAAATGTCACCAACCTGTTCAGCAACTTTGGAAATACGAGTAGTTGTGATTATTCTACTTTCACAATTACTATCTGGCAAAGCATTTTTAATCAAATCCCATGTTGATGTCTCCCATATATCATCAATAACAATCAAGTACCTATCATCAGGAAAAAAAAAAGTACCTATCATCAAAATGAGAATGCAGGGCTCAGGAATATATTAGTAAAATTGCATATTTTGCACTGTACAACCTAATGCTCAATAATAAATATGCTTGCCAAATATACAAATCTACATATATACTTGAGGATGAGAAGGCATACCTCTTTTTATCAAGGAATTCTAGTAGCTCATTGATGAGCTGCCTGTCATCCATTAATGTCACAGCAGTGATGTGCATATATTTATGCTTGTCAAGTTGAAGAAGAATGTCCTTGAAAAATCTTTTCATGTCAGGGTTTTGACCCACAGAAGCAAAAGCACAACAATCAAATTGCCCCCCATGTACTAGTATGTCATAAACAGCTTTGGCAAGAGTTGTGTTGCCCAATCCTCCAACTCCAATGACAGAGACAACCTTGAGTTTCTCGTCGAATGCACCCGCACCTTTGGAAAGCCTCCTGATTAGCATGTCCCTTGCCCCATTTATGCCAACGAGCTCGGTGACCTTCTTGAATAGAGCTGTTAGACGAGGGTCGATAGTGGCTGTGGCTTGTGCATAACTAGCAGAAATGCTTTCGACCTTGTACCTATCACGCCGTTCTGCCACCTCCTTGACACGATCCTTAATGTTTTTGATCTCATTGACAATTTGGCGATGGGACCTGCCCTTCTTGAACAAGTTCACCATCTTCCTCGCGAACCCTTGGGTGCACCCCAGGTCAGCTTGCTGAGAGCCCTGCTCGATGTGCACCTTGAAGGTGTCGGCGATGTCCTCCATGTCATAGGACAGCTCCCGGACCTCACGTGCCCATATCTTGACCAGATCGTCTAGCTGATCGAGTGGCACCTCGCCTACCATGCGTAGAGCAGCGTGCATCATCGGCCGCTCTCTTGACAGGAATCTGATGTCTTTCTTCACGCTCCTTTGCAGGTTGTACTCCTCCTTGAGCAACTCTCCCAGCTTGGAGAGCAAACTGCCCATTGCCCCTCTGGCGATCTCCATTTTCAATCGGTCAATTGGTATGTAATATAGATCATATGATGCTCTCTCACTGTCTGGGCTCCTAGCTAGTGAGGTGCACAATTTCTATGTGTACTAATGATCATCGATCGACTCGTCTCTTAAGAGGCTTTCATTGAGCCTGTCACCCGAGCTAAACACTCAGCTTGCCTTTTGACATCAATTTTTTTAGTACTACTGCTACCTACCTACATACAGTTGTTCTTAATTCCTGTGCAAAAGATCCTGTTCCTGGGGCAAATGAATCGCAAACAAGAAAGATCAACAATTGTTCATTTTAGGGGAGGTAAGAAATTCTCATAGAACCAAATTTCTTAACAAAAGATGAATTAAAGAAATTAAAGGGCACAGTGTACCTCAACATGAAGGTCTCCAACAGATCTACTCAGCTCGGCCGCTCAATATGGTGACATTATTTCGCAGCAGGGACTCTCAGTACAGTGAGCCACAGGCAGGAACATTGGAGGAAATATGTTGAGTGCAACAAGCAGCTAGCGTGAATACAAGGCAAGGAGCATTGCAATGACTAATTAAGGAGACCAAACAAAGAATACCACTAGGCCTCGAAAAGAAAAACAAGGACAGCATCTTCTTGCCTTTAGTATTTATTTAAGTATCCATTCATCAGCTCCGGGAGCAAAGTAATTCATCAAAAGAGCAGAGCATCAATACCCCTGCAGACCCACTTTTCCAAATCAATCATAACATAGTTCAGGCCCCACTAAAACAAGGAATATCACAGCAAACTATTTCTGCTCATAGGGAATAAGATAATCGCCATGTTTCAAACAATCATAATAGTAAAAGATACTACTTTTAAATCCAATCAAGATTTGAACTAAAATTTTTCAAAAAGATTATTTGTAGGATCAAAACACAACAATCAAGCATACCAAAAGAGGGTGAAAGGTAGTTGAAGTCAAAAATTCAAACCATAAGGTATAAAAACCTATGTGCGAGTTTGATATTTTGTAATCAAAATTGAAATTTCAGCCACAGGATTTAACTTTTGGAACTTAAATAGATTCAAATAAAATGTTGATAAGATTTTATATAAATATAAACTTTGTTTTGCATAATTCGAATTTATAAAAGTATAACTATCACTACTAGAAAATCGATTTTTTATGGCGTTTGGAAAATATTTTTCATGGTGGCTATGTGGGAAAACCGCCAGCGCAGAAAATCGTGGGGGTGGGGGGTCAAGGGCCGCTAGCGGAAACACATCTTCGCTAGCGGTCTACTTAAGAAGGCCGCCAGCGAACATAGGATATCTTCTCTGGCGGCCCTCTTAAGCTTCGCTGGCGGTAAGCGGATGCGGCCCACCTGCGAAGATGTAGGNATCTTCGCTGGCGGCCTCCTTAACCCTCCGCCACCTCAAATCATTTTCAATGGCGGTTCAAACGAACCGACATATGACGACCGCCAGGGAAAATGCGCTGAACTATATGAACCAGCTACAGTAACCTCGAGCACCATTAGGAGCATGATTTTCTCTCTCTTAAGAACACATATCTAGGGGGAAGGTTTTGATCTCAAATCTTTTGAAAGATTTATTGTACCAGAGGTTAGTTATACTTTGTCCTACTCTTTTTGTCAATTTTTTTTTCATTTTTATTGGTTGTATGTTGAGATTTTTCATCACAAAAAGTACTTGACATGGAGGAAGAAAAACATTTTTTATTTGTTATTTGGAGCTGAAAATGGGCAAACTTTGCAAGAAATATTGTGCATGATCGATGTTCCTTATATATATCTAGTTTTTGATAGGTTTATGTTTAGCAGATTTATATATTAGTTAACTGCAAAAGAATGAGCTAGCTAGGAAGAGAAGAAGAGAAAGAAGGGTAGTTTGGTAATTCTTTAGGTTGTATGTTTTATATATGCAGATTTTTGGCTAGCTTTAATTATCTTGTTCAAAATATTTAAACTAACTAAAGTTGTATTATTTTTTCCGCAATTAATTAATTAATGCATAGATAACGGACAGGGCAGGCATGGATGTATAAAGAGAGATATCGTGCGTCATACATTGAAGGAGTCGACATATTCATGAAAACGGCTAAGAAGAATGTTGCATCTAAGAAGACCAAAGATATTAGATGTCCATGCGTGCACTGCAAAAATCGGAAAATTTGGAAGGATCCATCTGTAATCGAGCAACACTTGGTGACGCATGGATTTGTTGCACGCTACACAAACTGGTCACATCATGGAGAGATCCCAAGCAAGCAAGTTCCGAACCAGGCTACAGTACGTGACGAAGTGTTGAGCTAAGACGAGGATGTCATTGTAGTAGCTGAAGATGAAGAAGAAGTGCATGCAGTAGAACCCGTTGATGATGATGATGTTGTTGGTGACAATGGTCAGCACAGTACAGTTGATGATGCCGATTATTGTAATGTCAGCGTAGATGATGGTAATTTTGCAGATTTGGAAGAGATGTTGCGTCATGCTGAACCTGAGGTGGTTGCTGGGTCCGCTCGTGTGTTGGATAACTTTGATGCATTGAAAAAGGCAGCGAATGATCTTTTGTACGATGAGGCAAAGGGCTGCGAGAAGGTTTTCACATTGTTGCGACGGTGTTTGAGCTTATGAGATTGAAGGCTAGAAATGGTTGGTCCGATAGTAGTTTTAACGACTTGTTGGTTCTGTTGAAGAAACTTTTTCCGTAACCCAACTCCCTGCCAACAAGCACCTATGAAGCGAAGAAGCTTATATGCCCGTTGTCACTGGGTGTGCAAAAGATACACGCGAGTGTTAACCACTGTATCCTGTTCCGTAAAGAGTACGAGGATTTGGACAGATGCCCAACATGCAAGAGTAGTCGATACAAAACAAGCCGTAGCCAGTCCGAGGGTCAGGATGTTGCCCTTGACCAAAAACCTGAAGGTTGTTTTTGGGAAGGTAAAAAAGAAGGAAACGAATAAGCGGAAGAGAAATGATGCCGAAGTGCCAGCAAGCCTTAGCGTGCCATTCAAGAAGCACTTCATTTTCTTTAAGTACCTTCCGTATTGGAAAAATTTAGACATACGCCATTCTATCGATGTCATGCGCCTAGAGAAAAATGTCTTCGATAGCACCATTGGGACTATACTGGACATACCAATTAAGACCAAGGATGGGCTGAAATCACGTAAGGACCTCGTGGATATGCAGATAGAAAGAGCTTCATCCTGTGGATGAAGGTAATAATGGAAAAGTGTACCTTCCGCCTGCTTGCTACACCTTGACAAGAGAGGAGAAAATGGCATTGTGCAAATCCCTACATGGGGTGAGAGTGCCTACTGGCTTCTCCTCAAACATTAAGCGACTAGTGTCGATGAAGGATCTGTCGCTTTTAAGCTACAATTCCCATGACTGTCATGTAATGCTCACAGTATTCCTCGCCATTGCAATTAGAGCAGTCGAACCAGTTCACATAAAGCTGGTCATCACAAAGCTGTGTTATTTCTTCAATTCCATATCTCAGAAAGTAATTGATCCTGAAGAGTTAGGTCCTCTCCGGGCTTTCGCTATACAGACAGTGTGTGAGCTTGAGATGTGTTTCCCTCCATCATTTTTCGATATGATGCAACACCTCATAGTTCATATCGTGCCTCAGATAATTGCACTTGGGTCCCTGTACCTGCATCAGATGTGGCCTTTCGAAAGATACATGTCCATTTTAAAAGACTACGTACGGAACCGCGCCCACCCAGAGGGATCCATGATAGAGGGATACACAACTGAGGAGGTCGTTGAGTGTTGCATTGATTACCTAAAAGATGGGAAAGCAATTGGTTTACCGGTACCTCAACATGAAGGTAGATTATCACGGAAAGGAACAAAAGGGAAGAAAAGAATCCACGACAATGACTACAAAAAAGTGAAAGATGCTCATTTCACTGTGCTGTAGCAACTCGCAATAGTGGAGCCGTACATAGAGCAACACCTGCATGAATTACAAGCAACAAATGTGGGGCGATCTAATGCATGGATCATGAAGAAACACAAGCATCACTTTACTGAATGGTTCAAGTACCTCGATCTACCAGATGGCCATACCATGGAAGAAAGAACAATTAAAATGCTGGCTGACGGGCCATCAAGTGTGTATACCTCGTGGCAAGCATATGATTTGAATGGATACACGTTTTACACAAAAGCGAAAGACAAAAGAAGTGCATGCCAAAACAGTGGCGTTCGAGTAGAAACAATCGACACAACTGGGCAAAAGAGCACATACTATGGATTCATAGAAGAAATCTGCGAACTAGACTACGGGCCAAATATGCAGATTCCACTGTTTCGGTGCCAATGGGTGAAACACCCAGCCGACGTGTTTGTGGACAACTTTGGGCTGACAATTGTCGACTTCGACAACGTAGGCCACAAGGATGACCCATGGGTGCTTGCCGCGCCAGGACCATCGTCGCCGCCGCCGGGACCTCCTCTCTGCCTCTTCCTCCTCTCGACTGCCACGCCAGGAATCGCTGCCGCTGCCTACGCTACCTCGCCGGGCAGCCGAAGCCATCGTCACACGCCTCCAGGTACATCCCCCTCCTCTGCGCATGATGAATGACTGAATTGAGAATTGAGATGAATTTTGGGTGAATTGAGAATGATGAATGACTGAATTGAGATGAATTTTGGGTGAATGCAAATTGGTTGGCACAATTTGGGTGAATGCAATGTGGTTGGGGGGTTTGCAGGGGTTTTGCAATGTGGCAGATGGCACTGCAATAGTTGCAAATGTGATTTAAAAACATGAATGTATAGATGATTTAGGGTTGGTTGTTGCAAATGGTTGAGATGAATTTTGGATGAATACAAATTGGTTGGTAAAATTTGGAGGAATGCAGAAATATTTGGGGGGTTTGCAATATGTGGCAGCAGCAGTTAATGGAATTTTGGATGAACTTTTGGATGAAATTTTGGATGGAATTCTGAAATGAAACCGCATATATATATGATTGTAACCTTTTTTTTCAAATAAGTTCAGAATGTTGCAAATGTGATTTAAAACTTGCCATTTTGACATGCATACTGCTTTATATGTTGTTCTGTTCCCTTTTGAATTAGAAGTGATTGGTGGATGGATGGATGAATTGACGAAATGATATTTTTTTCACCCCATTTCGTAATCTGTAATTGATATATATTGATGAAATGATATATATGTGAGATGTAGTTGGGACTTTGGAATTTTGGATGAACTTTTGAATGGAATTATGAACTGAAACTGCATATGAAATTTTGCTATTTTTTGTCATATAAGTTCAGATTGTAGCTAGTTTGAAACTTGAGGATTGTTGCTATTTTTAGTCATATGAGTTCAGATTGTGCAATATGATTTGGTTGATGGATGGATGAATTTGGATAGATTGTATTTGCTGTTTTGTTTGACTGATGCACTGAAACTGCATATATATAATCGTGCTCTTTTTTCCATATAAATTCAAATTGTTGCAAGTGTGATTTAAATTCTGAAATCCAGTGACGTACGGCTATATATATGGTTTTGCAATGAAATGATGTATGGCTATATATATGGTTTAGGGTTGGTGG